CACACACACACACACACACACACACACACACACACAGAGGCACCATGCACGAAGACTTTCTTATGCCGTAGTGCAATCAAACCAAACCCTTCTTCCAAACACAAAGTTTTTCCCCACATCACTCGCGGCTGTGACTCAAGACTTGGCGAGTTAAAGACACACACTCGGACCCAGGCCCTCCGAGCAGCGATCCCGGGATGCGCCCATCCACTCATCCACGCCAATGCTCACACACTCACGCATGTACACACAGTCTCTACCTCTCTCCTCGAGCCTGAACAAGGAGACAAAAGCGGAATCCCCCAGCCCACTGCATTTAAACCGCGTCAGACCTGGCTTTGGGCAATTTATAAGCTGACCTCCATTTTGGCTGTTTGAAGAGTAAATTTTAAAATAATAAATTTAAAAGCCCAACATATACACATCCCTACACCCCAGTCCTTGTGACCTCTGGTTCTCAGAGGAGCTGTTGACCCCCATACCCCTCCCTTAACACACTCTCCCCTCCTGGAACACCCGGGGGCTCCCCGGACACCGAAGTCTACACTGGTTCTAGAGAAGGGTCTGGGGAACAACAGTCCGCAGTGGCGGATGGCTATTAGGGCGCTCAGGACTTGTATTCAGGATCCTTGCTGATGTCCAAGTTCATCTCTCAGGGAAAACGAGTTTGAATCGAGTCTGGGTGAACCCAGCTGTCAAATCTGCAAACCCATCACACCAGACAATGGGCTGCGGAGGAGAGAAAAGAAACGCTCATGTTGATCGAGGGGGGTTAATTGAAAAGGGCATGGGCTTTTGTTGAAGTTTGAAGCTGGGGTGTAAGGGCGGGGACAAAAGGAGGAGGGAAGAGGAGGAGGAGGAGGGGTGGATAGCGCTCCATTCAACCACACACCAGCCTGGCGCGCCCCTAGGCTGCAGCGGCGGTTCCGCTGCGTGCAGCGCATTGTTTCGAGTGTGTCTGCGGCTGGATGTGCGCCCCAAGCCCTGGGGACATCCCGCGGATCCGCGCTCTTGTGCTCGTGTTCCTCGGGAGCAGATAGGAGGAGATTGATTCCCTCATCAAGTACCCCCCTCAACACACATACGTCACACCATACACGGATTTCTTGTTCAGTGTATCAGTTTACACTTGGTTGTTGCGTAAACAAAGCAAACATATGTCACATTTTCGCGACAGATGGTTCAAACGAAGGGCTACTTAAGTTCTCTCTCTAGAAGCGGGGACAGTCTAAGTTACAGGGTAGACTAAGCGAAATGTACTTAAATGTTCCAATCAGTTTCTTCACCTTAAAGAAGTTTATTCCCAAATTGTCACACATAAACCCGAGAAATCCTGGGAGGGAGAGGGGTTAGTGAGAGAAGTGCCGAATTAAGAGTTCATTTGAAGACTGTTCTTCTCCAAGGATACCCAAAACATGAAAAAAACCTTTCATCACTTCATTTTATAAATGAAGGTGAATGTCCCTTTGGAAAATCAGTAATTGGAACTCCAATTTTCAATATATAGACTAGTGCCTATCATTGCTGACCCTGTGGGAAGGTTGGATGACAATAAGATTTTATTTGAGGACATCATCCACATCTTTTGTAAGCGTTCTTTGTTTAGAAATGACTTTGTGGGGGCCGGCCGAGGGGCGCATTGGTTAAGAACTGGCTTGGGATGCCAGAGGGCCCCGGGATACCAGAGGACCCTGGTTTGGATCCCACATATGAGGGCCAGTGACACTGCCCTCTACAGCTAAGATGCTGAACGACAGCTCAACCTGGAGCTGGGCTGCCTTGAGTCACTGGCTACGGTGTAAGCTGCAACCCCTGCTGCAGTGGGTTGCCATGGACTACCATGTGTAGCCAGCAGCCAGCATGAGCGGCCAGCAGCCTCAGTGAGCAGCCATCCAGAAGCCGGCGACTTGTCTGCCTCACCCAGGAAGAGCGCAATGATGGTGACAACTTGGGCCAGTGAAGCAGCGTCCTCCACAACTAGACTGAAGAATAAAACAACGCAACTTGTGTGTTCCCCTTCCCCCAATTCCCCAGCACTGTTCCCATCCTCCAATTCCCTAATTTAAAAAAATCTAAAAAAAAAAAGAAAGAAAGAAATGACTTTGTGTTACCCCAATATTCCACAGGCATCTGTTTAATCAAAATTGAACAAGGTGGGGGAAGGGTGGAATAAAAGTTCCCCCAATATGAAATATGGAACTTCTTTTAAAATATTTACAGCTTCAAGAATATTTCAGAACCATTCATGCACACTAGTCCTCATTCAGCCCTTACTGATGATGAATAAATAAACCACCATCCACTATGACTGTATTAGTGCTATCCAATATAATAGTCACTAGCCATGTGGTTATTTTGATGAAAATTAATTCAAATTAAATTTTTAAAATGCAGTCCCTTAGTAGCACTAGCTACATTTCAAGTGCTCGATAGCCACATGTGGCTAGTGGCTACCATATTGGATGGACAGCACAGATACAGAACATTTCCATCATCACAGAAAGTTCTATTGAATAGTACTACCCTGTAATATTGATGTGAAATTAATTAATGTGCATATATATAAAATTCTTAGATTAGTAAAATAGTGTAGGCATAAAGTGAGTGCTTTGTAAGCATCAGCAGTAGTTCTTGTTGTGATGATGATGGTGATGATGATGTCCGTGGTGATGGGGGTGGTGATGGTGATAGTGCTGGTAGTGATGATGATGATTGTGATGATGATGATGATGGTGGTGATGGTGATGATGATGATGATGATGATGGTGATGATGATGATGATGATGATGATGATGATGATGATGGTGCTGGAAGTGATGATGATGATTGGGATGATGATGATGATGATGGTGATGGTGATGGGGTAGTGGTGATGATTTGTTAATCTCTTGAGGAAGTTGAAGAATCTATGAAGACACAGCCCACTCTGTGTCCTCCACTCAGAAGGAGATGGGCAGGCAAAGAAACCAAGAATAGGTAATTGGATATGTCAAAAGTTGATCTCCCAAGGAGAGCTGAGCTGTGTAAGACAAAAAAAATGTGGTTCTTACTCTATCCTAAGATTTCTTATAGCAGGAGATAATAAAAATTCACAGCTTTACAACTACATTCACTATCTTCTAAAACTGAGTGAAATGCACGGCTAGAAAGTCTTTGGAATCTAGAAGATAGAAATGCAGTGTGACTTGCTGTATTAATATTATCTCTGTTTCTTTGGAGCTTATCTGTTCCCATGTGTACGAGATTGATCTTGGGATAAAAGGTGACATCAAAATATCAAATACTATTAATAATTATAAAAATTCATGCCATCTTCTGTGACATGTTTTCTCTGTAAGAAATTGGTTTTAATGCTACAAAATTAGGTTCAATCCAGCCGTAAGCATGTGAAGTGAGCAATTTTCTTGCACTTCTTGATGTAAGTATATTTTCATAAGTTAACAGATGAGTCATGGTGAGAATGACAGTTTTATTCCACGCAATATTTTATCTCTTACACTCATTGCCTCGGCCCTATAGAATATAATGCAAAATGTATTCATTTTGTAAAATTATGGTGCTCAAAAATTACTCACGTTTCTTTAACTCAAACTAGTTCATCAAAGTATGTGACATTAGACAGTTTGACAAGCTTACTTATGTAGCTACACAAAACCAGCTTTTTTTTTGCTGCTGCTACATCTTGTCCCATCCTGTTCCATCTGCCTAATATGTGTTTTATCCTGATATTTGAAGACCCACCTCAGCTCTAATG